TAAAAAAAATGCATACGAAACTCACCTTGTAGAGGCTTGAAAGATTCCCTCCAACTCCTGGTGATGTCCATGTGATCCTGACGCCAATCCTCCCATCGACGAGGTTGAAGTCGCCTTGGATGCACCAGTACTCGAGACAGTTCAAAAATTCACTAGTCACTCACCACACAACCAAGAATATTTTATCAACTCAAAATCCACAAAGATCAATAAAATAATATCAAAGATCAAATAATATTTTTAATCATTCAAAATAAGATGAATGAGAAAAGTAAACCTTCGAATCTAATTCGCACTCTCACTTCAGTCCGTATCTAAACACACACTAAACAATTCCGAGAAACGGAGAAAGGAATTTTTGTAAACACAATGACGCCGGGCGGCCGTTCGGCAATACCGAAGTTCAGTGTAAGAAAGGAAAAATCTCAATCACTCAAAATGCTCAAATAAACTGTTTAAAAAATTATTTCACATCCCAAAATCACTTGCACTGAGTCCCGCACTTTGTATTTTCAATGTTCACAGGCGGCGCCGGTTTTCTGCGCTCACTAGGACCCCGATGTTAACGAATTTTAACTACGCGACGCACGACCGACCGTTCCACGCGCGGGTCGCGGAACGACTGACTCCCCACTCAAAATGGCAAGGCGTTGGAGGCGGCGCTCGAGTGGGGGGTCCCCCGGCGATACTCCGCGCGTGCGCACAGAACACCCCGCATGCGCACAGAACACCCTGCATGCGCATAGAAGACCGCTCAAGTGGGGGTCGCCAGGCGATACTCCGTGCATACGCACGCACACCGTCCGTGCGCACAGAACACCGCGGGCAGTCTCAATTTAACGAGATACGATAATTGCGAAAATTCTTAACCTAATAAATAATTCTCTTTTAAAAAAACAGTGCAATCATGTAAAATCCAATAGTCAGTGAAAAATAATTGATTGAAGAGAATTTAGCGTGTGGATTTTGGTCTTGACCATCAAAAACACTTCGATTGGATCTCTGAAACGGGAATGGGAGTATCAGATACATTGATTTACATTCTGTTTTCCGATGATGCCCTGGTTTCCAGCGATTGCCGTAGTTACCGACAAGGCATCGCTTGAGATCAAGGTTCAGGTTTTGTCCGCGGAGTAGGAGGGCATAAAGTTGCCAATCGCGAAAAAATTCCCTCCATCCGGATGTTAATTCGTATCGGCTTCCTCCTTTCATTTTCCTCGTAAACAATAAAAAAAATAATGGTTTCTCATTATGAATTAATTACCAAACTCCAGAGCTCTTCAATTTTCTTCAGGCGACATGCCCTGAATAAACCAAAAAAATAGACTTCTCTGTATCGTAGAGCCGTCCTTATTCCCCGTAATTAACAAACAATTCATCTGTTTGTAAATGTTTGTCATGTTGTCCGCATAATTCCGTCGTAAAATTATCCCGAATGACAAGTATCAACTAATTATCTCACCGTAAAGAATTCCTTTATCGTTTCTACCACTAATTTCCTCGGAAATGTGGAAATGACGCCGTCAGCTGTTTTCGGACAGCCACCATGTTTGCGCAGAGCACCTGCGCGAAGTTCATAAGTTTTCAATCGCTGTTTCTGTCATGCGACAATTGTTATCGGTCATTATCGTGTGATTACAGGTTAATTAGTAATTATTTTGATAGTCTTACGTGGTCCGGTGTTGATTTTAAGAACAATTCGCAGCTGGGAATTTTTTTCGTGTGATTTTTTCCAGTTCAGAAGGAATTCTGCGGTTTTACAAAAGTTCCGAGGTGTAGAAGCCATTTTTATATGGCGAGCGCGGGAGAGACCGAGGAATTTGAAGGCTTCCTCGGGTTTTCCGAGGCCGGAGGACAGAAAAGACATAAAAAACACAAACATAAAAAACATAAAAAAAAGAAATTGGGGGACAACGAGGGAGTCATCATCGATGGTACTAGAATAAGAAAGAAGAGTTTTAAAGTGAGACTTGCTGCTGAAAATGAAAAATTGTAAGTAACCAATTTTTATTGAATTTTGAAAGATTTCTCAAATTTTGCAATAATTATAATAATTATCTAATTATCTCGATAATTACTGGTGTGAGAGAAAAATATTAGATGGCTTTTTTGTCGGGAATTCGATCAGCTCCATAAATGTTCTTCTCACATTTTTCGGTGCAGCCGAGGAATCTCGAGATAACAACGGAAATAGTGAAGAGATCTCATTGAATCTTTCAGTAGTTTTGTAATTTGCAAAGCGTAATGACTAAAATGATAATTAAATTATTCCAGATCAGAAAAAAGTCGGGAGAAGCCGCCGAAGGTGTCAACGACCCCTCAGGCAGGGCCCAGCACATCGTCATCCCCAAAAGTCGTGAAGAAGAAGGTGTCAAAGGGTGGAAAATCGAGGGACAGTGGAACTAGCAGTGAGGAGGAGCGATGGCTAGACGCTATTGAGTCTGGAAAGCTGGAAGAGGTACTAAAGAATCCCTCACGCCCACCAAATTTCGTCTATCATTGATTGTCATTGATTTTTCGTTGATCAGGTGGATGACGAGCTGAAAAAAATCAAACCAAAGGATCCCAAACTGATGACAGCGAGACAACGCGCCATGTTCGAGAGAAAAACAGATACAGAACCGAATCCTGGAGTTGAACAGCTCATGTCACTGCCCACCGGGTATAAGGAGAAAGTTATGACAGCAGAGGCCATTCAAAAAGCTGCTCTCAAATCATTAAAAAGAAAGCAACTGGCTGATGAGAAACGAGAGAAAGATAAAGTACGAAATTTTCAATTTTCTCACTTCAATCTGCATTAAATAGTCTTTTCCCCTTGAAATTTTCGTATTCCCTCATTGAAATCATATAAAATACACTCATTATTGTTCTCAATAATTCTTGGATCTCAGAAAAAAACGATGGAGAGATTGCTGAAGAAACAGGAGTCCAAAGCCTCGAAGATCACAGGAAAGGGAAAACCCTCGAAGAGACAAGTTCCTTTAGTCACTTATCGAGTGACACTCGAGGGTAGCTCGATATCCTATCCCCCTGGCGAAGAATTCCCCCTTCGACCTTTAAAAATGTGAGTTCCTGAATTTTTTCCAATGACCTAAGAAATTGAATTAATGAATTCAATTTATCAAATCATCAATTCTCAATGTTTTATAGATTTAAAAAATCAATGAGAATGAATTACAATCTTCCGAATATTCAGTAGATCTGTTTTAATCAGAAGAATTAAAATTATCCTCTGGTTTCTAGGAAGAAACTTCCGGAATTGTCACTGTGTGCAGTCCAGCAGTGCCGAAATCCCAGGAAGTACTCGTGCTCCAAGACTGGCATTCCCCTCTGCAGTCTCCAGTGCTACAAAGCGAATCTAGCTGGAATCATGACATAATCTGAAATTGTACAAAGATAAATAAATTATCAACCCCCAAATAGACATTTCTAATTTATTTCTGAATTTCTTCAAGAACTTTTTAATAAGCCGCTGACGTATTTTCTGTCTGGAGAATCGATAAATCGGTTTGATTTACTCTTTTGTAATTTTTTTTCAAGCCTCGATTCAGGGAATCTCCAGGACATTCTCAGATCGGAATTGCACTCTGTGGAATTAACGGTAAAGACATGGGGTATTGATGGTCCAGCATCCGTGACCGGTTTTACCATTCCAAGACGATTCACTTCCACTGTGAATTACTGGAGTAACTGGGGGTCTTGTCTACCCCAGCCTTCATTCCACTCAAGTCTCTCACCCAATCATCACGTCTTCTATCAATTCAAAATCATTTTCTCAATTTATCTCAAAATTAATCAATTTATCTCTAAAAAGTTGAAGTAAAAAATCAAAAAACCATGAGAAATCATTCAAAATGACAATTAAATATCCAGTTCTAGTGTTATTATCGTTTTCATTCATTTACCATATTTATTGTGAGTATGAAATAAATAAACAATCATTTTTACTGAACATTTTAGTTTTATTTCGATTATTTCAACCGTTTAATCTCATTTTTACTTGAAACTCGGAGTCGATTGATTTTGGGATCTTCATTGTACGTTTTTTATTGTAATAATTAAAACTATTTTTATTTATTTAATAGGTATTGAATCTACTGGTGATTGCGGGGGCACATGCGGCACTGGGACACCCGCAAAAAAATGTTTATACAATTTTTTTGTGACTCATAACGCGAGAAAAAATGTGTGAGTGATTTTTTGAGGGAATTGATGGTTCATTTTAGGGATAAAGTTATTGTTTATGATGGCAGGTAGTGGGGTATGGTATTTTTATCTGTGTTTTACGAAAATTTATGGGGAAATGGATGGGATTGGATTATTTATGGCGTGGAGAACAGTTGAGAGGAAATTTTGCTGATGCTTGTGTGGATAACGGTACCTTCAGGATCAATTTCCTGGTTGTTTATGCGTTTATGAGGAACTGTCGGGTTGTTAATGTTGCATGCACGAAATGATTTCTCCAGTTTCTGGTTAATTAATTCAATAAATAGATTCATTATTCGAAAATTCAAAGTGAAAATTGAATATTTTGTTGATTAAACGTTTACCTCGAGAATGCATGATTCTAGAAAAAAAAGTTATTAACATTTTTTGGGGGAAATATCGGGGGCTGCGAAAAATGTTTATGACATTTTTAGCTATGGTCAGCAGTTTCTGAGATATTGATGATTTTCAGAGCGACTCGACGGTTTATTGAATTTTTTTCAACTCAGATTTGTTTGCAATTAGCCTGGTAATTTGTTGTCTCACAGAAAAGTGCTACGAATATTTATGGAAAATGAAATTTTCTGTAAAAAGTTTTTATAACATTTTTTTGTTGGACAACGAGGTCTCGAGATTATTACGTGGGAAGTAGGGAAATCATGCATGAACGAGTTCTAATTGTAAGTTCTCCTGGTACAATGGACTTTTCATTTGCGTAATCCCGGAATTGAGATGTTATGAGGATAATTGTGGTGATGATTTCAGTGTGTGCAATGGAAAGGATGATCACTGCGATTATCCAGTGAATACAGAATTTTTAATCAATGGAAAGAGTCCTGGACCTGCGATTGAGGTGAGAAAAAGTGAATCGAATCGTCCGGTATAACCTCGTGAATATCCCCGGAACCGATGAGTTTAGAGAAAAAATTTATACAAACTTTTCTGTGGAGAATTTTCCATTACATATTTTTTATTCAAAACTTTTTCTTGTAATTCCGTTAGTATCCGAGATAGAGCGCCAAATAAGATGAACGAAATTTTGCCCAAAATTTTTTTCTCGACTTTAATTTACATTGGGGCGTTTAATCAACTGTTAATTGATCTTCAGTGATTTAATGATGATGCTTAATGATTTCAGGTGTGCCTTGGAGACACAGTGGAAATAATCGTCCACAATAGGTTGAAATCCCAAGAGCTGTCCTTTCACTGGAATGGAATTCACCAGGAGTCATCAGTCCACATGGACGGGGTTTCGATGGTCACCCAGTGTCCTATTTTACCTTTCACCAGTTTTCGGTATCACCTGAAGCCCTCGAAAACCGGAACTTTCTTCTACCACGCGCACTCAGGTACTTGAACACCTAAAAAAATAAGTGCCAAAAATTTTCTCAAAATCCCCTTTCCCGAAAAGGGGTTGTATCTCATAAAATATCGACTCTACAGAAAACTCTAACGAACCTTTTTTGTTCCTGATAAAATTCTTGATAAAACATGTCATATAGTATTCCACCGTAAACTCAATAATTACCGAGAAAATTCACCACTTAATGAGCTACGAACAATCTACTCGGTGTCACTTGTGGTCTAGTAATTACCGCGCTCTTCTGCAAATATTTCGAAACCCATTGGTTCTCCAGAGAAATGGTAAAAGACTTTTATCTAGATTATAAAATTTCCGAGAAAATATGTCGAACAAAGTTTTCCCCCGGAGCTACCGCTCACGAGTTATTTCCAAAACAAAAATAATAAAAGTTGATAGGATGAGTTTTTCTCGAAGAGGATAATTTCCTGGAGAATTTCATCAGTGTTGCAGCAAGGAGACGGTCTCTTTGGGTCGTTGACTGTTCGAGGTCCTGGAGAGGATCTGACCCTCGATAAAATTATCATGATATCGGCGAGGACATCGAGATCATTCAGTTCAATCAACGCGAATACCCCGGAGGCCCTTGAATTACTCATAAATGGAAAAGTAATTATTTTCTCTTTAATAGTCATCGAAGAATTGATTGAAAAAATATCAGGCGACTGATTAATCGGTGATTTTTTACATTTTTGGAAATTTGAGGGGAAGCAAGACTTAAAAGTGGAGCAAAATCGAAAGTATCATTTTCGTGTTATCAACGCGAATTCATTAAACTGTCCAATTTCGTTCTCTATCGCTGACCACGACCTCGAGATAATCAGTGCGGACAGTAATCCAGTGGCTCACATCGTTGGAAAGCGGGTGATATTGTTCCCAGGTGAGTGATAATAATCTCAATCATCAAAATCACTTTTTGCCAATAAAAAAAAAATTTCGACTTATCCGGGCTGTACCTCGTAAGCCACGCCATACATCAAAAAACTTCATCAGACTTTTTTTGTAGCAAATTCAATTTCCTGTAAAAAAGGTCAATTTAACTTTTCCCTAAATCCTCCAGATTTCGCGCTATCCCCAGATCAATCACCCCACTCCTCCAATCCTAACCAAATATCATGCCCCCTGAATTTCGGAATTATCCCGGAACCTATCAATTTCACAAAAAAATGGCAAATAAATTTTTTGTAATCCATAAAATTCTCCACAAAAAAGTTCCTCTTCACCTCCCTCTAAACCCTCTCCATCCCGAGTTATCCGCTTCGAAAAACTTCTAAACGTAAATTTTCCTTTAAAACATCAAAAACTCAAAAAAAAACCCAAAAAACTTGCTAAAATTCCCGAAAAAATTTCCTAAATTCTCCTCCCCCATAAAAAGAGGATCTCAAGGTCTTGCAGTCACCTTGAATCCTCCCCCCGCGGAGGTTCCCTCCAGAGAAAAAAAAAACCCTCGAGTCCGAAGGTTTCACTCCAATCAAATATTTCCGGGCGTCCCGTGTCGCGCAAACTCGGCAGTCTTCGGTGCCCCCTCTCCCCCCTAAAAAAAGGACCCGAAGAAATAAAGAAAGAAGCGTCTGCCAGCGAAAAATCGTTAAAACACGCGTTGTCGAGGTCCAAACAACAGGCAATTAATAATCACCCCCCAAAATATCTAGAGCACCGAAAAAAAAAAATTAAAAGAAAAAATCCCTCAAAAAATTCCCTCGGACGTCGTCCACTGGTAATATTTGACACCTGGTGCACCACGTGGATGTGCAAGTGGAAAATTGTGATGTACACGAGTGAATGTGGAAAAATGTCGACAAACGATTCAATTCGGGAAATGGAGTGGACGAGGGAGAAAACACTGGATCTCCTCAGGGAATATCAAGCCAGGAATGTCCTTTGGGATTGGAATGCACGTGGATACAGGGACAGGACAAAGAGAAAATGCGCCATTCAGGAGTTGGCTAATCTCCTGGGGTGCAATACACTTGAGGTTGAGAAAAAAGTGACTAATTTAAAGTGTCAGTACTCCAGGGAAGTTCACAAGATTCAGACGAGCAAGGAAAATGCTAGGGGACCTGATGATGTTTATGTGTCCAAGTGGTTTGCCTTCAAGGCCATGCAGTTTTTACAGTTTGGCAGCAGACGGTACAGCTCCAGGAAGAAGGTAAACATCATTTTTTTTCATTAAACATTTTTCATTGATCCCCAAAACATTGGACGTGTCAATTAAACCGAACTCAATTATTGGATCGTTTAATTCAGTGAATTATTGATTAATTAATTAATGATAATATCACTGGAGCTTTTTCATCATTTTGAAAATTATTTGGATAGTCTTAACAGGATTTATGTAGAAGAGACGAGAATTGTAAATTCTGGTTTAGATATTTATTTTCATAGGACTGAGTTTATTTTGCATCTTTTGTGAGGTTATACGAGGTTAAGTGGAGAATAGAATTGAATTGTCTTTGATTAGTGATTTTCCTAGGGATGTCGCAAGTGTTGAGAAGTTGAGAAGAGTATTATCATGGATTTTAGTGGAAATCAAAATTTTTTCTGGTTTTTAATATCGGCTTTTACAGCTCATACTCATTCGAAATTTCAGAGACAAGTTTTTGTTATTTCTCAAGGGTAGATAATTTCTCTCCAATTTCTGCAACTTCAATTATGACTTTAGGGTATTTTCTTCAGCTGATTAAATTTCTGAAAAAATCTCTAGAACTCCATCCATTTGTTGTAACTTTTCTCGTGGAAATATAGAGTAGTGACACGATAATAAAATTGAAGTAGAGAGAGATGGGGAGAGAAGAGGTTTGAGAAAATTTTTGTGCAATTTTTAATTGTATTTTTTATTATATCGATCTCTTGTGAAATGGTCTACCGTGAGAACAGTTTGAAACGTTTGGACTTCATTGTCTGGGGGCCTTTTTCGTGGCCCAAGGATTGGCTGAAAAGGAAAAAAAAATGGAGAGGGGACAGTCGAGAGGACAATGAGCCTCTGCCCCAAGGATTCGTGCGAAACCCAATTCCTTTGTGACATTGAATAATTTTTTTACCCCTCTCTTACTCGTTTTGATTTTGTATCTGCATATTCTGATGACTCCAGCATTAAAAAACCACATCCTCATCCTTAGTTATTCTTATTTTCCCCTAACAAATATCTTTGATTGTTTTTCCTCGATTTTTCATTGGGAAGAATAAATTTATTGTAGAGTTATGGATTTTAGAGATGTTGGAAAAAGTCAGGGGAAGGGGCGAAAGGTCAGATTTGAATGTCAAAGTTCAGGAAACGAATTTCTGTCACCAAAAAAGTGATAGTAAAATTGCAGATCGTGGGGTCATATTTTTAGTGGAGTGGAATGAGGAGATGGTCTCACTCTTTTGATCACTTGGAATGAGCGCAATTTCAGTGTTTTTATTTCGTTAAAATGTCCACTTGTCTCAGCAGAATGTCAAGAGACACTTTCTGCTGTACGTTAATGAACCGAAAGGTCTCTTCACATTTCTCCACCACTTGGTAATGAGTTAATTGTCCAATTAGAGGAAATGTCAGAGTTTAATCCGTTCACTACAGAATATTCCTCATCTTCAAGAAAAAATTCAATAAAAAATTATCTCTCGCTGACTCACAAGTTCAAGTCCTAATGATGATCGGATCTTAAAGCATCACATCTCGGTAACAACCAGCTCTAGAAGAAAATGCCATAACACTTTTTGATGGAAAATTTAATCAGCTACAAAAAAAGTTTTCTGACATTTTCCCGTAACTCCACTCCTTTCCTCAATAATTGGTGATTTTCCAATTGATTAAAAATCCACTCCATCTGCTTCCTCGAGACAAATCGAAAACCGTCTTCTTCAAATTGCGATTCATCTCCAGAACCATCAGTTCGACAACAAAAACCCATAAGATTGTTTTTGTAGGCGCAAAAATTTTCGCCAAAAATCGTCCCACGAGATTTTCTCGTAGATTGAACCGTTTCTCTTTAAAATGAGAACTCAACGAAAGAGAAATCAGGAGAATGAGAAATTTGTAAATACAAACTTTTCCCTTGAAATTTCAGAAGACCGACGACGGCATTTCTTCGCCATCTCGCTCGGAGGATGCCCCACGTTTGAAGATGGAGGAGGAGTACATAGTCTCAGATATAGACCCTGAGAGCATAAGACCTTACTATGACTGTCCAGAAGACACGGATGTCTCAGGTGCTGGTTCCTACAACGCATCCCCCATTCAGGACGAGGAAGAGTCTTTCTCGAGTATAAAACACCCCCTCGAGCCCTGGCACTCAAGTTTTCACGACGAAAATCTCCGCACCGATTCCCAGACTGAGGAAAAAACGACGGATGTACCCCACGGTCGAAAAAGACTCAGAGAAGAATTTTCAAAATTTGGTGAGAGCATCGCAGCTCAACTCGCCGAAATTCCCGACTCGTACTCCAGATCTGTCGCCAAATTACGGATCAATCAAATCCTCTTCGAGGCTGAAATTGGGGCATACGCCCAGAGTCATCGTTAATTACTTTTACTTACCTGTGGACTTTTTTTTACTTTTTTACGATTTTTTCAGTTACTTCTCCACATCTTGTGATTATTACTATTAATTACCATTAATTAACGGTTCAATTCGAGGGTAATTGTCTACCCTGATATTTTTATTGTCGTAGTATGTACGAGTTGACGATTATCAACGGTTTTAGTGCGAAATAATGTTCTTCCTGACGAGTGAGGAATTAATTAAGTGATTGTGGGAGAAAATTGTAAATTGAGTTAACGTTAATCGTTAATATTTCGAGAAACAACGATGCAATTTCTGAGAGTCGAGGATCAAAACGGAGATTATAAAAACATCTTGAAAACGAAGAAAAAAAAGTCGATTTCCATTCAGCCGATCTCGAATTATTTACGATTGAAATGAAAATTATATTTTGGGACTTAATTACGCATAACCAATCAAGAGATGTAGGTAAACAGATGATGTATTGATGGTGGAAGAGATTATTTATGTACGCGAAGCCTCAACACACGATTATACCTCTATGTAATCATTTTTTAAAATGTAAATTAAATAAACATCCACTCAACGAATAGAACTGTTTGATAATTTCATTCAATCAATTCGTGATTTGTCTGAAAGAACTTTTCAATAGAAATTTTGATATTTCATTCAAGGGGAGAGAGTTGACCTGGAGATGGAGACGTCTAGAGCCCCTGGGAGATACGTCGTGACCCTCCAGGGTGGCCATGACTGCAGGAATTTGATTTCTGAGTCGATTTTGGTGTATGATGATGGAGAACTCGATGAAGTCATAAGACCTGGTGATTATACGGAGTTGCCAGATGTTCTTCAGGGGCACAATTGCGAGGCCCTGGAGGAGGGAACACTCTGTTTAATGGATATGAAGGCACCAGTGGGGAGAAAACTCCAGGAGAAGGCAGATATTTTTTTCGTGGGCTTCGACGACGTCTTCTACGACATTGACGATCACGAGAGCGATTATAAATTTAATATTGATGGATTCCCGTTCTATCCGGCGTATTTGAGTGAGTTTTTTTATTTTTCTCATTTATCGTTTTTATCGTTTTTCTGTTTAGTCGCTTTGAGTCCATTTTTTGGCTGTATTTTTAGGCGTTTATTTGATTTTATTAATTCGATTTGCAGGTGAAAATTGATTAAATGTTTGTGGGCAGTGGAATTATTTTTTTTTTTACTTGATTGACGGTTGAATTTCACAGGTGTACGCCCTGGAGGTGCGACAATACCCCAAATCAATGGGATGACGTTCAAATATCCTCCCTCTCCAATTTTATCACAACCTGAGGCTGTCCCTGAGGATATCATCTGTGATTTGGAGTATAAATCGAGGGAGTGCTGTGACAGGCCTTCATTTTGCGAGTGTCTGCAAATTCTCGAGGTGCCCTCCATGCAAAATATCGATATCGTATTGATTAATGAAGGTAATACCTAAGATCAAGGGTGAAATACCCATTTTTTCTTCTATTATCAAAAAATAAAAATAAAATGACCCGTTCAAAAAAAAAATTCGCGCCCCGAAAAATTCATCCACTCAAACCGCAAAAAAAATCCCTAAAAACCAAGCGCAATATTTTTCTAGGCAAAGTTGGTAACAACAGTTTCGTGTTCCACGTGCACGGCTACTCGGTGGCCATTTTGTCGGTGAAGAAATTCACGCGGCCCATCAGCAGATCTGAGATAATGTCCGTGGAGGCCTTAGGGAAATTAAAAAGAAATTTAATCACTCCATCGTTGAAGGACACGGTTGTTGTACCTAACAAGGGGTACGTTGTACTTCGCCTTTTTACCGACAGTCCTGGTTATTGGCTGTGGGAATCCCGAACTACTGGTACTTCCCCGACAACCAGTGGACCTGGGATGCAATTTATCCTGCAGGTGGGGACGAGAGAGAGCTTGCCGACAGTTCCCCTGGATTTTCCAACCTGCGGCAATCACAAGGGACCTGATTTAATTTTCGAAGACGATAATTAAAAATCACTCAACTCCACAATTACAATTGTGCTGATTGTTTAATTACAATTTATTAAACGGGAACTAAACATAAGTGAATAAATGATATTGATTAATTTCAAGTATTAATTAACGCAAATAACATGAAAATTAATAAATTTATTAATTGTGCTTGTACTGATTGTTTTGTTGGAATTAATTGGATAAGAATACATTTTTTGTGTTTTTTTCATTTTTTTTTATTTATAAACAAGTTTTTCCTGTCTTCAAGCGATTGGTCAATGAATTTTCGCCGGTGAAATTCCAATAACGGAATAAAAATCATAAAACTATAATCTCGGTCTCAGGAAATGGCATGGAGTCGTGATCTCTGCAACGCAGTGGGTGTTGATGGGAATACCATGAGGAGTAAAAAAAAATGCCAAAAGTTTGCTGATCTCCAGCCAAATCTTTTCGTCCGTTCCTCAGCGCAACATTCTTATCTTTATTCCCCCATCGTCCATCCAACGTGTCTTTCCAAAAACAATTACGTTGGATTCGTGAAATTAATTAGTTCAACATTTTTTCTCAATTACCAGGAAACCGTGAAATTTTTCACTCAAAATTCAGAAGAAATAAAAAAATCATGGCTTCCTTTATTCAAATTGATAACTCCTGATTATTTGATTGGATTTTCAATTAAATTTATTATTTCTTCCTTTAACTTCAAATTTTCGTAAAAAATTGAAGTAAATTCGGATTTTTCTTTGGTTTAATTTAAAAAATTCATTACAGTGGACTTGCATGGGGCTGAGGGAAAAGTGAATTCGGAGAATTCGACTATATGCACCAGTGGCACATGCTCGCCGCGATCGTAAACTGAATTTTTTCAGAACGAATTCGAATACGAAAATTTCGAGAAATTTCTATAGTAGTGAAGTGGGGGAAACCGAAATATACACTGAGAGAAATATTCAATAAAAATTACGCGTATTTTCCGTAATTCTGGAGCGAAATGTGGTTGTCGGAAATTTTACGGAACTGTCACGTAATTTTTAGCTAAAGTCACGGAATTTTTCCGCGGTGTTCCGTAATTTTTATCTGAATTATCAGTGAAAAATAACGATACCGTCACTTAAATTTTTCGAATCAACTCCGTAATCGGTAAGTGAACTGAAAGTTCCGTAATTTTTACTAAATATTTCTCTCCGTGTACGCGAATACAGAAATTGGAGGATAGGTGCGAATAAAAAAAAAAGTGAGAATCTATTGTATATTTATATTTATATTTTGATTCCATGTCGAAAGCCTTTAATACAATTTTAACACACAAAATCCTCACCACCTTCTCCACCCCTACAATTTCCCCCCAAAAGTCAACGGACACCATTACACCTCATGCAATTTCTCTCGAAATAATATCACCAATGGCAATTAAACCTAGAACGCATCGTTGCTATCAAAAATAGAGGGAAAAATAACGAAATACCTCCATGACGATAAAAAAGTATTTGATTTGAAATAAAATTACACTATAAAAAAAATAGTTTACTATAAAATTGTCCATGAATTGACATAAGTAGAACGGAAAATAAATAAAAAAACATTTAACCGACACTCATCAACTGTTATCCATCAATAATACACGAATTACATTTGTCATCGGAATAATAACGAATGCAACGTCAAAAATTTCGATTTACGTGCACGAAGCGAGTATATGAAGTTATTAATTAACTCTCATTTACTCCGCTGACTGAAAATGAATTTTAATGGTATATTAAAAAATGGGTGTCGCGAACAAAAGCGATTGCCAATTGAACCTACGACTTTTGTAGCCTCAATAACTTTACTCAGAAAATCGGTAATTGAAAAAAAAAGCAATGGAAACATCATGTATTTTAATATAAATAAAAAAATATAAACAGATATAAATCTGCAGTGAATTTGAAAAAGTTGATATTTTATTTATTCATTTATTTTTTTAATTTTATCTTGCGGTGCATGGATGTCATTTATGTATTATTTGTTTATGCAATTTTTCTGAAATAAAAAAGACACTTGCACCAAAAAAGGACTTACAAAGATGAACACAAAAAAACGTAATAATGAAATTTAAAAAAAATAACACGGGGGTGGAATGAAATTCAATTGAAATAAAATAGAAAATTCCAGAGGATCATTTCCCAACAAATTCATCACCTTCACTTCCGAAATTCTAATTGAACAAATAAACAAATAACTCGTCACCGGGGAAAAAATGTCAACGGATTTAATCGAATAAACGTTAATTCTCCAGCCCTCTGGCACGAGAATTCCCTCATTTAGTTTTTTAAATTAAGAAAACAGGGTGTGTCGGAAAACATGCAGACGGAAAGAATTCAGTGAGCGTTGTGCATACGGAATGTCTCCACTAGATTTTCACCGGGAGGCGGTGGCAGTGGATTATTTAGGTCGTCATAAGATATGCACCGAATAAAATCACGAAAGTAAAAAATAAACTAAATATTGGTGCATCGATCTCAATTTTATCTTAATTCCTCCCTTTATCGTTATCTATTGCGGTAAAAATGAATGAATAATAGTTTTCCGAATGTTTAAAGTTCAATTACACCTGCTGCCAGTAATTGGGCAATTGCTAGCAGCTGATAATTGAAAATAAATTCAGAGTTTTATTGAATTGAGGAGTTGTACGATCATCTTGTCGAGAATTGCATACGCACGTTCTAAATTACCAGTGGAATTTTCCGGAAAACGTAAATGGAAAGACTGATGGGTTTCAAAGAGACGAGAAAAGGAAAAAGGGAAAAGTACCCGGAGAATGGAAACGAGTGAAGGTTGTGAGGGAGTATTGCAGGTATAAAAGGGTAAATACGGTGGGATAGAGTGAGGAGAGTTTGGGAAAAGTATAGTGAGGAAAAAGTGGGGTTTCCTGAACCGGAAAGGAATGTCAAAAGGCAACTGAAGGGAATGGGAGAAAGAGAGTTTAAGGTATATTGTAGTGGTGAAGTCACGCTTGAAACGCAGAACAATAATGTTACGGTGAGGAGCTTTCTGGCGGTCTTTCTCAGGGATAATAAAGAACATTTGAGAGAATATCCGTATGTCATAATATTTTTTTCATCTGCACTGCACGTGGAACGGGAAAAACTGCGATGGCAATTTCGAGAAATGGGAGAATTTATGGTGTTACTTTTTTTTAATTTTTCGCGCCACGTGTGGGGGACGGGAGGGCAGTTTGGTGAGGTTTAAAAGTGGGAGGGAATCCCCATCTTTTGGAGGAAAAATTATCCATTTAGTCTCGGTAGATCTTGAGAAAATCCTGAATGAATTTTTATAGATCATTATTTGTGGATTTTCAGATGAGAAAAATTTCATTATCAAAATTTTGGTTTTTTTCTCGGGATTGTGGGGAGAGGGGAGGGTGGTCTTGGGGTGGTTTGAGAGTTGGTGAAAATCCCCAGAGATTAAAGGAAAAATCATTCACTTATCCCCGATAGATCTTGAGAAAATCCTCAATGAATTTTCATAGATCATTCCATGACTCCCAGATCACATTTTAATTGTTTAACTCGGACTTTATTCGGGACAAATGAAAATTGTTTTTAACTGAATGGTAAATTTCCTCGTCTTTAAATAGCGGAAAAATCGGAAGGTGGAAAGTGGAACGAGTCCTGATTCCCCCGAGAAAATTCTCACGGAAAAAAGTAAAAATTGAGAGGAGAAAGCGAAATTTGAAAATTGAAGTTCCGAGGGCTGTGGAGATTCGCCGATTCAACAGTTATCCATCGGTATAATAATAATAATATCGATAATTCGATTGGAAAATTCAGCAGTTTACGTTATCTGAAAATTCAAGAGGGAATAGAGGCCTGACTGGACGTTGACTTTATATTCATGAAAATTTTCCCCTAGATAATCATGTCCGACCGCATGGATTTACACATTTCAGCAAATGTTGGTTTAACCGCAGGTGAAGAGGGCGGTCTGGGGTAGAAATGAAATGGGGGTGAATTTTAAGGGGGTGAAAAGGGGGAGGTGGATGATATGGGGGAACAGTGGGCATGTGCTACCCGAAAATCTAATAACCATCCCCTTACACCAGCCCTCTACCTTCCTCGCGGCAATTCGTGCTCCAGTTATTATGAAATCCTGCAGAAATGTGACACTGATAACTTTGAAAATATTATTCCCTTTATTCAGATTAAAATTTTAGATTTTCACGAACACCCCTATGGAAAAATACTAAGGGTGGAGGGGTAATACAGACATGTTTACCATTTTACGCAAATTCAGATGTAACGACGAGTTTTTTGCAGTTTTTTCATATAGATTAACATATGAATTATTATTTTGGAGTTAAAAAAATGTTTAATCAATAATTTTTTATGTTTCAATTGTATATTCTCCGCCTAAATAAATTTCGTGCCTGAATCATGAATTTTCTCCAGTTGCAATTAATAAAACCTCCAAATAAATAACAAATCAATCCTGCAGATTACCGTTTGTTTTTTTTTTCACGGTATCATTAAAAATTTCGCTCGTCACCGTGAATCTCCCTGGGGATTGCGCGAACGTAGAAATATTTCATTCCATTTTACCAAAAAAAATTTTAACGACTGAACGACCGACGAGTAATCACCGAGTTCATATCAATTTTCACAGCGTCACGAATGTTGTCCGCTCCTGTTCCACACATTTCCAGTGATGACTGTTTTTATTAATTAATTGATTTCCCCAGGCTGTGATTCGACCCTTTTTTTTCCTCCCTTTATTGTGGACTGTATGTGAGCCAATTAGGGTGTACCATTTTTTTTTTCTAGTCTTAATTCACTGGAGTGTGTGTTTGCCCTCCATTCCACTCCGGCGAAGGAGAAGGCGAAGTAAGATGAAATGAAACTCACTTGCCAACCCTCTTCATCCCTCTGGAGGGATGCAACGAATTTTACTCCTTGGAGTAGCTCCTTTGGACGGTCAAACCCCATTCCCGTATTTGAGCTCTTCACTCCGGAAGGACAACGACGAGAACTCCCACCGCCTCCCACCCACCAGTCCAAATTCACGCAATAACTGGCAAGCTCTTCTGGTTTCCGCAATGATTCTCAAATTTTCGCTATTTTTTAAATTTTTAACATTTTTTGAATTTTCAACATTTTGCCCCCCCCCCCCCACCCTTCAGCGAAATTCGTGGAAATA